AATATTGATTCAAGATTCCTTATATTTGTGTAGCACTATTAGAGGGGCAGGTCTTTCAAACCACCTGTCAGTTGTAATAGCTTTAGCTAGTTGTGCAATTGATTTCCCCCTCTGAGGATCTTTACCAAATCTTATTATTTGTCCCACAGGAGTCCTACAATACAGGGTGACTGAATCAAGGTGGTGTTACAGGGAGAGTGGAAATCAATGATGGTAGGGTGCAGAAGAGTGGGGAATGCAGGTAGTGGGGAGAATTGTCAGGCGGAGGAGCGGGGAATGTGGGAGTTTGGGAGGGGGAATTGGATTTTGTGTACCTTATCTTATCATCTTATCCATTTATGTAGATAGAAGAGTGGAGTTTTGGGAAGAGTTAAGCAAATCAACACATCATCCAAGGCAGAATAATCAGAATCACTTTCTGGGTTTCAACAGCATGGAGCTGTGGAAGAATGTTTATTGACAGAGTGAAGGAGATTCAGCTTACTAGTGATTCCCGTCTTCCACCAAAGATTACCTGAACATCACGGAGAAGAGCTCTGAGTTATCCACCAACAGTTTTCCTTTCCACACCTGTTGAGATTTCTTTTTCCCTCCTCATCCCTGAACTCCATTCACTCTTTTCTCCATCATCAATATCACTTCATTTCATCATAGTAGTCTAAATTCTTAGTGGCATGATAGTAATGAGACTTCACAGCCCTGTAGCTTATGAGCCTGTGTCTAGTAGTTATTCTCAATTCATTTTAGTCTCAAAGATAGTATCATTGATTGTTTGCTTGTGATTTTATTCATGATGTGTCTTTTCTTCAATTTCTAACACAACTTGTTTAGCTTGTACTTAGTCTACTTAAGTAGCATAGATACAAGCAATTACCCCATTGGTTTTCTCACATTATTCATCTCAACCAGTAGTACAAGAAGCCCCACCAAAACTGCTTTTTGTTTCTTTTGCAAATTGTCCGAGCGTTTTTAACAATCAGTCAAATGAAGGAAAAGGAGGTAGGTAAGTGTGTTCATGCCCATACACATAATGTAAAATAATCAAGATAGTTATCTACACAAGGATTGAAGTAATTGGTTCATGTAAGAGATGCGATATTTTACACATAGATCCAAAAAGTCGTATTTTCGAGGTGGATTCTGTAGGTGAAAGAGAGTCTCAAAGATGAGAAAAGAACTACTGAAAAAAGAGGACAAGTAATACACCCTATCTATTTAGAAGGAAAAAAGAAGTGGATGAAGTGAGGAAAGGTAGAAAATAATAAGCAAACGCGAGCCCAGTGTTTCGAACTATACCTACTCTGGGGACGACCTCAGAAGAGGAATGAAGCCTAGAAAGAGCAGAAGGATTAGCGGGGCAAGTCCTGATACGCGGTGTTATTTGAGGGGAGATTAGGATGTCGGGGGTCATCAAGGTCGTCTGTGGGAACGGGTTCGAAGTTGACGGGACGGTCCTTTAAGGGATCAGGGGGAAAGTTCTTGAGGGACATTTGGGTGTCGGTGTGATGGTTGGCGAAGTCGCCCTGGCCGGAGCGACGCAAACGTCTGCGGACGAAGTAGATGAGGCCGACGAGGAGACCGACCAGGAAGAGGAAAACCAAGGCTGAGGAGGCATTGTAATAGTTCTCGTCCCGCACTGCGTCCGTCGAGGAGCCTACCCCCGCCGCCGTGTTTGCTTGCAATAGCTGACTGTCGTTCATCAACACCCGGTTCACCGTCGTCGCCGGCTCTCCTCCTATCCGACTCGTTATTTGCGCCGCCGGTCCCGCAGCTTTCATCACGTCTATTCCGAGGAACCGTACCCTGTTGGTCAATTACAGTTTATCGGAAAAAAATCAGCGAGCGGAATATGGTGCAACAACCCAAAGCAAGTGGAATAGCCTCTTACAGCATATCTTGCGTGACGTATGGAACATCGTACGGGGCCATGTGAGACTTATCATCAAAAATATTACCGAACCATCAGTTGGGCTGTTTACCTCATCTCAAGATATTAAAAGATGACGACAAGGAGATAACACATACGGCATTGGCCACGAGAACATATGTCAAGTTTCGTTCTTCCCTCCACATACCCGCATAGCTACCATTCACCTTCCAAGGTTGATTGCTGGCTTCTTCCTAGCAGATAAAACATTGCGAAAATCGGAAAATAAGAAAGAAAGAAGGGTTGGGTGTGAGCTGGTCACGATTGTTCAAAGAGGGCATCAAGAAATACATCCAAATCTGGATGCTACTACAAGCAATCGAAGATATGTGTCTAGGGGGGTAGTGGTGAAGAAGGCACTCAACTGTCCATCCTCGACGGCCTCCCCATGTTAAATTATCGATCATCCGCTCGGTGCCCGTGTGGCAACAAATCCTAGAAGGAAGAGACAAAGCGATCAGGCTCAGAAGGTTGCGGAGAAAGAAGATGATAGAGAAGGACGAACAAGTCTTGATCGCCGGAGAACAACATAACTTTAATTTTATCCAAAAGTTTGGGGAATAGATTGATAGAAGGTTGCGAGGTTTTGGCCCAAAAGTTATTCCCCACACGGGGCTCACATTCCACCCAGTCTGCTGAATGGGCTTGCGCATGTAGAGCGCTCTTCACATCAGCTCTCGAAAGGTATGGTGTGATGTCTGCTAGTTCTGGCGGCCAAGTCAAGCCGCATGCTGGATATGTATCCACCAATCGAACGTCGTACATATTCAAGCACATTTTTTGCGAATTGACCCTGGAGATTATCAAACAAATAGATAGCTGAATGAGAAGAATCTGGATGGCTTGGGATGAAATGAAGATAATAAATAAACAAGCATACGTTTGAACGGTGGAGTCGGTGATGGCACTTAGAATGCCTTCACAAGCTTCAATATTAACGGGAATAGTGTTGTTGGATTCGATCCACTGGTTACATTTCTTTACCTCACCCCTAACCAAGTCAGCAGCTTTGGAAGACGGATTCACGAGCCCAACCTTGAAGGCAAAGTCTGAATAAGCCGGATATTGATTAACCGGGTCGATCCATCCGTTCCCAATAATGATGCCTTTCAAGGGTGAGGTGATGATGTTCGTATCTAAAATCGCTTGTGCTACAATGGTTGGGTTAATTTCCCGACGAAAAACACTCCAATATCAACATCAAGATTTTTTTTTTCGTGTCATCTGCTGAATGGGTCAGGGAAGCGGTGGAAGTATGATTAAGTTTGAATCAAGGCAAAAGAAACCTACCGAGGTAAGGGATGTATTGTCCGGCGAAGCTTTCACCGCAAAGGTAAAGATCCATGTTTTGATACTCTGGGAAGATTTTGAAGAACCTAGCGAGAAGGTTGACCAAGTTGGCCGAGCTGACGTCGAGTTCGTGTACATAGCTTGGTGGGGGGCCGTAGCTATATCCGGTGCCGGTGGGTTGATCGATGAAGAGCATGTTGGCATACTCGTTCCAAGCGGCGTCGGCTTCTTTGAGGGTGCCATCGCCTTTTAGAATCATCCGAAGCGGACCGACCTCCATCAAGGATCCGTCGAATGAAGAGCATCCCGGTCCTCCGTTGAGCCATACTAGTAAAATCGGCCGATTGGCGATGTGTCTGGCCTTGTTCAGAAAGAAGAATCCGTAGGAATCCTTCTCCGGCTCGATCGGCAAATCCGGGGGTGAAAAGGATAGATGGCCAGCGTAAAGAATTAATTGGGAGTCTTTAGGTTGTCCAGGAAGTGAAGGAACATAAAAATCCGATGCCGTGGGTTGTGATTTTGAGTTTGATTTTGATATTGCTGATGAGGATTCGAGGGTTATTGCGCGGTCACTTAAATGATGATTGGATTGTGATTGTGCTTCAGGTTCCATTTTCCGTCGCTGCAACGCTTCGCGGGTTGTGGCACCATGATCTGAGGCCATTCTTCTGCTGGCAAGTCTGCGGATGTCCTGTCAAGTACGTTCGGAGGGAGGTGCTGCTCGATAAAACCCCAGACAAGACAGCTCAGCATAGTTAAGAATTGAGTTTTAGGATGAAGTATATAAACTAGTTCTCTCACATTTCAGGTACAGATCGACCCCAGTACGTATGATAGGCTCTTCAGATTCAGCAGTTACGTGTTAGATCCGGAACTCGTTGGGCTATTTTCGCCAGTCGCCGTATATACACTGAAAGCTTGTTAGATGCGGGGGATCAAGGGTTCCTCGAGCAAGACGGTCTCCTTGCCAGTAGAGGCAAGTTTCTTTTTCCCGTTTCGGCTCGACTTCTTGTTGACCAAAGAACCCGAACCGCATACACGCACGCTCCCGATACCCACGGTCGGGCAACAGCACACTCAATCTAGACAACCGAGATCCCCGAAAGCAAACACCTCACCTTCACAGTCCCACCAATAAAATAACTCCTGTACATACAGCATCAAAAAAACTGACTCCAAGCGGATAAGGAGAAGAGGGAGTAGGAATGTGGAGGAGAAAGGAGACCGGGTTCGATCAGCTTTAGAACGTCGGTGAGGGCGTGCAAGCAATATATGTACTAGATTCTCTGATCCTCAGGCCTCCTGCTTTCCTTGGATCCTTCATAAGCCGCACAAGAAGTTAGTAAGAGCCCGTCAAAGAGCATGTCACAACACCCCTAGCGACTGTTTGTGTGCAACTTCAGACCAACTACATAATATTGCCGCCGGTGCTGATTTGAAACGTGCAGATTTACAACGAGCCGCATCTACTCGCGGAAGTGTTGACACTGGTTGCAACAAGAATTTCGAGCAAATATCAGAGGCAGAAATTTCGGACAGCCGCGTAACACCCACTGATGGCCGGGTCTCAGAGCCGTGCCAGCATAATACAACCGCCGGTTCCACCACCACCAGGACCTTTATCCGGACTGCACCTTCAAATGGTTGCCGCCACACTCGTCTGCGGGAGTGATTCTCTGCAAACCCGATCGCGCGCTCTTCCCGATCAAAAGTCTGTCCACCACAGCTCCTTGTATCTTCTAGGACCTTGCGGCGGGGCCACCCTGCCAGGACCAAAAACGGACGCCCAACGTGGGGCTCGAACCCACGACAATTCGATACCTACACCGGGTCAGGCGAGGCTGGGAGGCTCTTGACCATAAGAGTCGAATGCTCTACCAACTGAGCTAGCCAGGCGTTGAATTCCAATTGAAATGTTAGGGTATTCGATGGCTCCCTTTCATCACAGGTGATCCCGGTGATATCCAGGTTGTGCAAGTGCGATGACTGCTTTCGCAGCAAAATTATCCCCCCAACTTCTTTGCACAGAAAAAGAAACACTTCCCGTCATCACCGCAGTTAAACTGCCCATTTTTGGTCTTCTAATTCATCTCCCTCCCATCGGACCAACAACTCATGTGTAGAGCATCGAACCACCAACATTATATGCATCCCTTTTTTTTCTCTCCATGATATTCTTTGATAAAAAAAATCAATGCTGAGCTTACCCATTGCAACCCAGATGAGCCACCTGAATTGAAGAATGTATTTACCTGTTCCATTGGGAGGCAATCTTGGACATCCTGGAAGCCCTTACCTGAAACATTGAACCAAGTTGACCATATGCATACAGTTAGATTGAGGAATATTTTACCAAAATTGCAAAAAAAATGGATAGAAGTGTAGGCTCAAAAGTGATGGAGTGCCCCCAGGATTCAGGGTTAGGGAGACAAAGCTGGGTTATGAATACACAGGGAGAGGAGGTCCATAAGCCCTTCTCATTCAAGGGCTCAACCTGAATCAGCTTTTTTTATGAAAGCCCAATGTGGACCAGGCTATTAAACTGATCTGAGAATTTGGATCAATTGATTTCTATCAAATTAAGGGATGGTACCAATGAACATCAAAAACGGCAAGAAATCCAATCAGCCCATGTACTGCCATCCTAGTTGATATTGGTGAAACTCAAACAATAGTAGCAATTAGTTCTTGCAATCAACTGGTTTAAACTTAAAATGAAATAACAGCTTTTTTTTAATAATAGCAGATCAGTTGATTAACTCCAAAATTGATTTTCTTGGGAAAATCCTATATTAAATTGTAAAAACTTATCCAAGTATAGCTTTCTAGAATTTCCAGAGTTGAAACTTCATGAAGGCCTACCAAAGCAATATTTATGATTTTAAATGGGCACTTTATGGCCTTAAATAGGATTTGAAGATAAATAATGGGTGTGAGATTGGGTGATTAACAACACAAGCTTTCTACTGAACTGATCTATCTCTTTTTTTGTGGGGGAATCTGTTGTGCTCAGGCCTGAATTTCAAACAAACACATCACTGGGGTTTTGTTTGAAAACCTTATGTTTGGCAGATAAGGCTTCCCATACCAGAACTGTGCTCCAGTGGGTCACAGCTCTGATTCAGGCTGATAAAGTCCAGCAACATTCACCAGGACAATTCCTGGAACTTCACTGTCTAGTGCCATTGCATATATGCTCCCAGAGGTTTGGTTCAAAACATTTAGCATGTTGGTTGCATGCAACC